CCCCTCCCGCCCCTGAACGCAGGAAGCTGGCCAGGATGTGCAGTACAGTGCATTCCAATTCCAGCAGCTAACCACGCTGGAACGCACTCTATATGGTGTGAACAAGCCCTTAAATGGTTACCCTGACCCAACTTAGCCCTACACATGGACTTAGCCTGTATTAATTGTTAACCTAAACATAACCCTTTATGCTAACTGTAAGGCCTCATGCATACTAGCCAGGTGCGTTTAAGCACCTGCTAAATATAAACAACTTTATGCTTCCCACATCACTTTTTCCTGTGTTTAGTGGTTGCTGGGCTTAGTCATAGTTACACATGTTTATGTGTGTTTACATGCGTTTAGCTGCGTAAAACAGGCTAATTTATCCTGGAATGCAGAAATTCCAGTTTGGGTAAAGGCTTCCAGACTGAATGTACCTAGTCACTACTGGATGTCTAGGTGTGCATTCATGCATAGAAAAGCATTACATGAGTCCTGGTGCGTTTAGAAATGAGTTCCAAACTCACCTGAACTCAATGTTTTTCAACATAGTGTGCATGAGGCCTTATCCTAATACTAACCTTAACCTAGCTGTAAATCTCTTTACTAGCCTCAAACTAGTTGCCCTGCTTCTTGTTTTAAACTAGCACTAAGAGCCCTGGGAACAGCAAAAATGAAGAGAAAGTAAGAGGTCCTTTTGAAGTAAGTAATCTTATCAATATATTTGAATGTTTTAAAACAGGGGTCTCAAACTCAATTTAGTCGGGGGCCACTGGACACATTTTTCATTCCCGTGGGGGGCCACTACTATATACGGTACAAGTTTTAATGTATGCACATGTTACAAGCGGCAACTGTCTAACATTCAAATTAATGATCGGGTGACAGCTGCTGCATGTAAACGCCTGCACACCGCATGTAATCATATGTGAAAGGATTACATGCAGTTAGGAATCAATCACTATCCCTGGATACACGATTGTTTATCCAGGGATAGTGATTGTTTTTGTAACTGCATGTAATCATATCACATACAATTACATGCGGTATGCAGGCGTCTACATGCAGCGTCTGTCACCTGATCATTAACTTGAATGGGTGACAGTTGCTGCATGTAAACGCCAGATTAGGGATTCCTGCTGCAGGAAAACGCAAGTTTGTGACACAGGAATCCCTAATCGCACCTGAAATATATGGGACTCCCCCCCCATTCCAATCCCCCCGCACACATAATAATACACTCCCCCCATTCCAATCTCCCCCCCGCACACAAAATAATACACCCCCCCCGCACACATAATAATACACTCCCTCTGAGCCTGACTGCTCTGCCCCTTCCTCCCAAGCCCCCAGAACACATATAATACACTCCCCCCCTCCCTCCTTTCCTTACAAGCCCCCTCACCTGCTTGCATCTGTGCAGGGAGGAGGCACATCATTGTTCCCTGGTGAGCTAATGGTGATTAGTAAGGCCTAGTGCAGACCTTACTAATGATCCATCATTCGGCCGGAGCTCAGAACTGACAGAGCACCGGTCGTAGCTGACAGGAGCAGCTCTGCGGTCTGCATCCGACAGAGATGCAGACCGTGTTGCTGCTCCCGCAAGTTGGGCACGTGGTCCATGACCGTGTGCCCGACTTGTCAGCTGGCTGAGGGCCACATAGTACTGGCTCGCGGGCCGGAGTTGGCCCATGGGCCGGTACTTTGAGAGCGCTGTTGTAAAATGTTGTATATATAGTTTGCATGTGGGACTGGATATTTAATAATGCTGCACAGGATCTGCACTCTGATTTTCAGCACTACATTATCATTATGGTTGCCTTTGCTGCGCTTTTTGCCAATACAAATCTATGATTTAGCTGACCCACTGAAAATTATACATTCTCTATATTAGCATTTCTTAACCAGGGTCCTTTGGAACCCTGGGGTGCCTCCAAATATTGCTAAGGGGTTTATTGAACAGTACAACTGAAATAGAGGCTTCCTGCTGCTGACCACCAATGTAAGGGGGCACCTCTACCACTGACCATCTATGTAAGGATGAACCTCCCCCACTGGCCAACAATGTAAGGAGGGACCTTCTCACTGACCACTTATGTATTAGGGGGCACCTCTTTCACTGACCACCAATATAAGGGGGTCCTTCTCCTACCAACCACAAATGTAAGGGGGACATTTTTTACTGGCCTCTGGCCACCAATGTAGGAGTTTATTCTTCCACTAACTTCCAATGTAAGGGGTACATCTCCTACTGATGGCCATTGTAAGGAGGCACCTTTTCCAATCGCCACCAATGTAAGAGGCTCCTCTATCCACTGACAAACAATGTAAGGAAGCACCTTTCCCACCAAACACCAATGTAAGAGGCTCCTCTCCCACTGACAACAATGTAAGGAGGCACCTTTCTCACTAGCTACAGTGTAAAAGGCTCCTCTGCCACTGACAACCAATGTAAGGAGACACCTTTCCCACTAACCACAGTGTAAGAGGCTCCTCTCGCACTGACAACCAATGTAAGGAGGAACCTTTCGCACTAACCACAGTGTAAGAGGCTCCTCTCGCACTGACAACCAATGTAAGGAGGCACTTTTCCCACTAACCACCAATGTAAGGGGCACCTCTCCCACTGAACCCCAATGTAAGGAGGCATCTCTCCCACTGGCCACCAATGTAACGGGGCACCTCTCCCATTGACCACCAATGTAAGGGAGCACATATCCCACTAACTGACCACCAATGTAAGGGACCACGTCTCCCACTAACAATCAATGTAAGAGGCTTCTCTCCCACTGAATCCCAATGTAAGGAGGCATCTCTCCCACTGGCCACCAATGTAACGGGGCACCTCTCCCAATGACCACTAATGTAAGCGGCACCTCTCCCACTGACCACCAATGTAAAGGTAAACCTCTCCTACTGACAACCAATGCAAAGGGGACTTTATCTAACTGATATTCAATATAAAGGGAAACGTTTCGTCTGATATTAATTTTAAGGGGGCACTTTTTTACTGACAATTAATGAATATGAGTACTTCTCTATTGACCACCAATACAAAGGAGCACTCCATTACCCACTAATATAGGTAAGCATTTTTCCACTGACTATGTAAATAGACACTACAATATTCACTGTCTGCATTTATTTTTTGGACATTATTATTTATTTCATTTTATGAAAATGATTGAAAGAAAAGTTGTTATATAGTGGAGGGTGTTCTGCACTGGATGTCAAATATGTTAGGTCTTGTTACTTTATTATTGTATAACCCCAATTCCAAAAAAGTTGGAATGCTGTGTAGAAATCTACATAAAAACAGAATGCAATGATCTGCAAATCTCATAGAAGATGTAACCCTTATTGTATTTACAATAGAAAACATATCAAATATTGAAACTGAGACAATGTACCATTTTAAGAAACAAAATAGGGTAATTTTGAAATTGATAGCGGCAACACGTCTCGAAAAAGTTGGGACAGTTCTGGAATCGGGGTTGTTTTTACCACATACTGATCAAGCTAATGTACCATGATCTGCAGATATACACTTCTGCAGGGGTTCCCTAGAAGCCATAAATTATTTTAAAAGTTCAGATGTGGTAAAAAGGGGGAGAAAGGCTGCCCCATGTGATATCTTATCTTATCAGTTGTATGAAGAGAACACTTGCCCTAAACTGCTAACAGCTCTAGTGGCTAATTTACAAATCTCTGGATTTTTAACAAAAACTTAAATATGGAAGAACAGGTTTGTAAACATGTTAAAATAATGTACAAATGACACAAAATATATCCAGGTATACACTATACTTTCCTTTTAAAAGATTATGTACAGATTACATTGAAATGCATTCCTGTCTTCCTCAAATATTCTTAGCATTTCTATATTTGATTAAAGCTGTTAGCTGTGACGCGCGCGTAAGAAAATGCTGGTATGGATGACATTCTTATACAAAGCAAATAACAGCTTGCTTTTTGTCTTTAAGCATTTTTTAAGCTTTCTGGAGAAACGATTTCTGAACAATGCGTCTGTTATCTGTTGAGATTTTGAAAATGACACATGACGATTTGCTAGATACTTGGCCCTTCATGTCTGAGACAGACATTGCATGTGGTCAGCAGCAAATCATAAGTGGCATATATTGAGCTGCCTGGGGTTCATAGTTACAGGGATAATGCATGAGAGTGTCAAATCCAATCTTACTAAGGGCCATGCCGAGGGTTGTGAATAAAATCCGGGGGAAGACATAAAGAAGAAAAAAAAAAGGTTAACCCTGCTGCTTGCCACGGTGCAATGCTCGGGCCCACTAATCATTATATGACAGTCCTGATGTCCTGTGTGTGAGGGCAAGTGTCAGCAGTCAGTTAAATGGACAGGTGCCCTCACACACAGAACACCAGGATTGTCATATAATGGACAGGGACTGCTGACTCTTGTAGTGCCCTCGCACACAGAACATCAGGACTGTCATATAATGATGTGAAAGGTCTCAGCAGGGGAGATGTGGAGGGTCTTAGCAGGGGCAGATACGGAGGGTCTCAGCAGGGGCAGCAGGGGCAGATACGGAGGGTCTCAGCAGGGGCAGATGTGGAGGATCTCAGCAGGGGCAGATGTGGAGAGTCTCAGCAGGCGCATCCCTACTTAACTCTATGCCACAGTACAAAACTCGGGACTGGCGGGCCTAATAAAATCTTGTGGAGTGCCTTTTCTAGCCCGCGGGCCTTGTAATTGACATATGTGTTCTAGACTGATATGAAGCAAGGGTGTCCAAACATACTGGGTCACCTTGAATAATGGTAAGAAATACTGGGCTCATTCCCACTATAACAGGACAGGGAAAAGTACATAAAAAGTACATAAGATACTATGATATATATATAAGATACAAAGTACAAAAGTCTAAAAACCTAAAAAGCCGAAACCTAATGCAGCCACCAAATCAAAGAACTGATAAGCTGCAATATATTACATAGTTCCTAGGTTTAGATGCGGTTTAAGAATCAACCACCATGATACTTACACATGTACTTTCCTGGGATCGATAAAAAGAAGCATGAGGTAGCACAAGAAAACTTGTCCTATCAGGAATAAGGTGAGCCTGGAATATAAACAGAAAAAAAAGAAAAAGGTTACCATCTAGCAGCTGTTCACGTGTTTCAGGCTAGGTCAGACGAGGTGTTTAAAAAAAGGGAAAGCTGTTAATGTATGCACAATGTGGTACTGTGCCCGTTGTCTTGTCTGCCCACACTTTATCCCCGTTTTTTTTTAAAGTACATAAGAGCAAAGCATAACCTAGTGTACTAGTACTACTATAAATTAATCCAAACAAAACATAGCAAAGTCATAGTCACAAGCTCCAGCTTTCCATCAGGCAGAACATAGCAGTAGCTGGAAACTACTGCAGATCTGTTGGACAAATTGAGGAGGAATTTACTAAGGCCTTGTTCACACCAAGCGCGGAGCAGATCGGGACCAGAGCAGGTGCAGACCGGATCAAAACTGCGTCCAATGTGTTCCTATGGTATTTTGACCTCCAGTTCACATCGCAGCGTGCGGATCCAGACCAGATCCAGACCGGATGAAAAAACTGCGGCAAGCCCTATTTTACCTGCTCTGGATCTGGTCTGGAACGCATCAAAAACGCATCTAAAACGCAAAAACGCATAAAAAATGCATGCAAGTGCCTTAAAGCCCATGTTAAACTTAAAAAAATATATATATATGTTTTTTTTTAACCAAAACCGGCCCTAAACGCATCAAAAACGCATCTAAAACGCGTCTAAAACGCGGCACAACCCACTGCACTGCGTGTGCAGAAACCTGACCGGATCTGGTCTGCATTTGGTGTGAACAAGGCCTTAGACTGGAGAAGACAGAATCTGAAGCAGTTGTACATGGCAACCAATCAGTTTCCATCTTTCATTTTCAAAGCTTAACTGAACCAACTGAAGCTGATTGGTTATTATGCCCAGCTGCACCAGATTCTGCCTGCTCCAGTTTTAGTTAATCCCCCCATTATGTATTTGCCATTGAAGAAGGTTAAAATCTAATGCTGAGGAGTACTTATTTGCCTAAGAGATCCCAAGTTTAAATTTTACAGCTAATACAATTGAAATAAAATGGTATTAGTTCATACATACAACCCAATAAGGAATACATCATTTCTAAACTACATTATTTCTGTAATCTCAAAAGACCTGTTCCAAAGCCAGAAGCACTGTCACCTAGCTACACTTGTTATTTGAAGTCATTCTGCAAAATCTTTACTGGATTTCTAGTCAAAACTTTATTTTTACATTTTTGAAACTATAGGAAAGAATTTAAATCACTGTTGGACTTTTGATTGTTCTCTGCACCTCTACTAGGGAGATTTCGCTTCACTTCCTGTCCAGTGATCACTAGACAACAGCACAGGAAGTAAGGAGAAATTCTTTTAAATGGCACACAGATAACAATGATAACCTATGTATATGGTAAAAAGAGAATGACACAAGTAGGTAGAAAGTCCAGCTAGTTTTATTAATATATGAGGTGACAGCAAATAACTAACACGTTTAGGCACTTTACCAGTCTCCCTTCATCTTAAAAGGACTTACCTTAAATGATGCCTCTTAATCCGATCTTCTTCTTTCCTGTACTTTTTAGCTGTCCCTCCACTCCTCCTCTTCGCTCATGTCCCACGGAGTCTGTGCGGGTGCATGCCGCTCTATTTACTAACCTTGTGTCTCTCCTCGTAGCCGATCCAAAAACACCCAAAGCCTCTGAAACATGCTGGCTATTTGATCTCTCCCTTTTACTATCTACATAACTTGCATCATGGGCCTGTCAGTCTCTAGAGTGACTACACTTCACAATACAAACCTTTTTTTCCTATAATTAATTTAATTTATAATAGCACTAAAATTATGATTTTGGCACAAAGCATTACAAAGTTATTTACAAATGAAAACAGAAGAGAGGGAGAGGTCATTTGTCTTGTGCACTTTAATAAATTTTTTAGTGCTAGTTCACACTAATTGCAGTGCGTTCCAGAGCGGTAGCTGCTGGAACGCACAGCAATCACACACTAAAATTCCCCCTTTGTTCTGGGGCGGGAGGGGTTGTGGTGGTGCTCCCCGCCCGCAGTGCGATTAGACGTGTGGCCAAACATTGCCTGTGTTCCAGTCCACTGCGAGCGCAAAAAAATGCTGCATGCTCTATTTTTTGGGTTCGCAGTGGACCGGGAAAGCAGGCAGTGTTTTTCCACAAGTCCGTTCACACTGCGGGCTGGGGTCGTGACTGCGGTGATATTGAATTCAATGCACCGCCACACCCCCTCCCACGCCAAAACAAAGGAGGGAATTTAGTGTGCGATTGCTGTGCGTTCCAGGAGCTACAGCTCTGGAACACACCGCAATTGATGTGAACTGGCCCTTAGGGTGTACGCTGCATGCCCTTAGTACACAACTATTTAACTTTTGTTTGAAACACTTTTGAAAGATTTGAATCACTTCCTGTCTCAGTAATCACTGTGTCCAGCAACAAGAGCATAATTAAAAAAATATCAGAGGTTCTGAAGCTGGCAATACACTGGTCAGATTTCATCCAAATCCTGCTAACTCGGCCAAAATTCAAGCAGTCTGTGACCCTGTCGGCACCCTTCCATTTGGCAAAAGTCAATTTTTCCATCCGGGCCAGTCTACAAATTATTGTCCAAACAGTGACCGCAGAAAATCAGCTACTGTCCCCGATGAAGGGGGGGGATCATTTTCCCATCCATGCCATTAGTGTGGATGGGGAAATTGAGAGTTTTTTCTTGTTCAGCCTGCGGGACTGAATGAGGAAGCAACTATAAGCGTATGACCAGCCTAATCCTTTATCACATTTATCAATACAGGTGGTAAAATGTTTGCTATAGACAACCCAAGGCAATCAAGTCAGATCTCTTTAGCAATATAAATTTAAATCTATAGTATCTCTTTGTAGAAAAAAAAATGTTTAGTGTTCTTAAAGGGTATCTCACCATCCAAAGCAGTAGACTGACAAGTAGATTCCCAGCATGGAGGCCACGCCATGTCTGATTTTTGGTCCATACTGTGAAGGAGGTAGATAATATCGGAAGAAAAAGGCCAGGATCAACGCAGAGAGTTGCCCTACGAGGAAAAGGCGCTGTAGAAGAAGATAAAAAGACATATATAAACAGCTGAGGATCAATGACCTTACCTGTTACTGTCTGACCATTATATCAGAATCAGCTACTGTCACACTGCACAAAGGTCACCTAGATGGCTGAGTAGAAAGTCACACGCACTGTATGTGCAGAATAACCAGATTGTGCTGCATTTATTAATCCTTTCAATGTAAATGTGACATGACAATAAAAGAAGAAACAGAGAAAGACCTGGCCACCTTATACCTGCTAGGTTGTATATTCAAATAATATTAAAAAGAACAATAAAACAGCTAAGATTGAATGTTTTTCACACTAATTGCGGTGCGTTCCAGAGCGGTAGCTGCTCATAATTCTCCTTTAAGGTGCCCATTCACCAGGGGTAGGTAACCTTGGCTCTCCAGCTGTGCTGAAACTCCCATAAGGCATTGCAAGCCACAAGCATGACTCCCAGAGGCAGAAGCATGATGGGATTTGTAGTTTCAGCACGCCTGGAGAGCCAAGGTTGCCTACCCCTGCCATACACTCTTCGATCGTCGTTCTGAAATATTCCACTAATGGTCTTTTGACCGATAATCGAACAGTTGATGGGACACCAACAATTTTTTTTTTACTGTAATCCCACTTGAATTTTCTTGAAGGGTGAGGCTGGAAAATGTTTTAGAATTGAACAAAAATCGATGGATTAGTGGTGTTTTTGTACAAACAAACCCCCCAGCAAACAAAAATCAGTTCTGTTGATCGACACAATTCAGTGAGTTGGTATTGCTAACAAACGATTATCGAAATCGACATTGGTCTGTGCATGATGGGCTATGTGAGCTAGAATCGAACGAAGGTTCTTGGCAACAATGAACATTTCCGATCGAAAATCTACTAGTGTATGGCCAGCTTTACAGTGAGTCTCTCCTCTTCTCCCCACCGGTGATCTCTACTGCGCATGCGCCCGCATGCATCCTCCTCCATTCATCCAGCACATAATGAGCCCCTATGTGGCCCCGAAACATTGCCATCCTTGTGACAATATGCCTATGTGTTTGGACACATTTCTTTGGTGTGCGGGTGACACCAGTCCTCCAGGTGTGTGGAAAGGATTTCAGTGGGATACCTATTGGACTTCTTGACGTGAGCCACGCACAGCCACAGCAAATTAAAAAATGAATGCAAGCCTACGGGAATTCAGGTAAGGGGGCGGGAGGGTTGTGATGCAACCATGGTTCGTGTTATATTCTTAATATGGGTATAACATAAAATATGGTCAGAAAAGTTACTTTAAGACCCCATTCACACCTAGCGACAAGAGGTAAAATCCGCCGAAAAAAGGGTCCGGTAGAAGCGACTTGCGACCGCGACAAGCGACGCGCGACATGGAGTTAAGACAGCTCCATTGAATAACATTGGCCGGCGACTTCTCGCGATATCGCGCGGCAAAAATGCGCGATATCGCGGCGGAAATCGCGCGACAATTCGCTATATGTGAACGGGGCCTAAAGGAGAATTATGAGGCGAGTGATTTTCACTCAGCCTCATAATCTGAGCCGACGTGTGACAATGAAACTGTCACAGGTCGGCTCAGTGGATTGGGAAGTGAGCGAACATCGCTCGCTGACTTCTCGATCTATCCCTGCAGAGAGCCATGACTGTCACTCATGGCTCCCTGCAGGGATTCCCCCCTCCTGCACTGTCCGATCCTCCAGTGACTGGTGGAACGGACGGGGCGGGAACAGCTGGCTCTGCCTCTAGATAGTCAGAGCCAGCTGTCACTCACGCAGCTGTGTGGATCCAGACAGAATTGTCGGGGATCCGTTCCGGCTGCGGCGTCTCAGTATCGGGGGTAGCTGGCGGTATACTGAGCTTTGGGTGACGGGAGGACGCTAGTTTGTGTCCTCCCATTACCCTTAGGAGAACTATGGGGAAAAACACTTACCCCATAGTTCTCCTTTAATTAATTATCCCAGCCAATAGGAGCTCCTACAATTTTCCCATGAGCTCAGGCCTAAATTAACACAATAATTGTACTACTAGAATCTTCAAATGAAGGGTGTTTCTTTGTGTAAGACCATAATTAGAAGATAAGAAGCCAGATCCTGTTCAAGTATTAAGCCAGTTACACATGGACAGTTCCAGTGCCTTGACCTAATCACATAACCAGCACATAGAAATGCATATATAGTGAGTGATTTACACTGGACAGAAATCCCGAATTCATCTCACCCACTCATGTTCAGGGGGATTTTTTTTGTAATTATTCCACCTGAGATGCAGGATTGAAGTAATTACTTGTTCCCGAACTCAGGGTAAAAAAAACAAAACTTCTTTTACTATGTTTCCAAGCCCAAGTCACCATGCCAGTTTTTCCCTGTTTCAGCCCCCATTTCCACTTGCTGCCTAGCAGCATAGGGCAGCCCATTCATTTTAATGGGCTACTCTAAGCGTAACAAACCCAGCAAAGAAGCTTATGCAGCTGTTTGCAAGATTTTGACCACGTTGTTCATTTGTTGCACACTAAAACATGCGCCAAGGCGCACGTCTTGCTTGCTATGTTTTGGGTGCCATGGCACCACAAGCGCAACACCTGCATAAAGTTGTGCATGTGTTAACATGTATGGCAAGTGTGAATGGGGCCTTAAATAAGCTGCACAGACTTCATAATTAAGTAAAGTTTTAAAACCATATACTACTGAAAGTAAAGATCCTGTAGATTTAAATTGTAGTATAGGTGGGGCTCTGCTTCCATCTGCTCACCACACGTTACAATCTGATTGTACAATATTGCCCAGCACTATCCCAATGCATAGACAAGGCAAAAAAACCTTGTAAACAATAATGTCTATTTACACCACAGTGCTGTAGTGTGGCTAGCACAGCCAAGTTTGCCTAGCACAGTCCACAACACATGGTAATGCATTACCGGACGTTGTGGTGCACTGCGATGTGGGTGCATCAGGAGGGTGTGTTGGGGTGCCATTTACAATGAATGTTACTGCAGAGCGATGGTGAAAATAGGCCATAAATGCAACTAGTGTAAGTACCTGAATTTGATTTGGTATTGCCTCTTGTAATCTTCTGTACAGTAGAACTCAGGTTAGAAGAGTTAAACTGGCCATACTCAAATTTCGGCCAATTCAGCTGCTAGCTTGGCAAAGGTTTTATTTCTAATAGTGTATGGCCAGCGTTAGGCATGTATCATTGCTGGTACAGATCCTTCCTGCAGGTTGTACAAGGACATGTTTAGAATGTCTGTGTCTCAAATAGGACAATATACTAATCATGGTACCAGTTGCCAAACACAGGCTTGTACACTCAACAAGCAGCCCTGATGTGTTAGATACTGCCATTTCTAAGTAGTCAATGTCCTTATGAATCTACACATGATAGTCCCACAATTGGGATATTTTATCAGGTGATGACCTCATGTCTATAGATACTCCTTGATGCTGCTAGCCACTTTTGGGGGGAAAATTGATCTGACCTATTCCAATGGATGCTGTTCACTAAAGAGATAAGTGCAACCAACAAAGTCTGCCAGTGGCACTTATATTTTCCCTCCTCCAATCACCATTCCTGATTGTGCCCCAATTGTTTGCTTGGGGGCATGGGACCTCTGACCAAACTGTGTTACCTGTGGGCACCCATGGGCACTCTGTTAGGGTAAAGCGTGGGGATGAGGATGAAAGTACCTAAATGTGAGCAGGAATGAGCGTGAGTGTGTGTGTGGATGAGCTCTACTCCGGACTGGGCAATGACATCCACCAAAGCTTGTAACAACATTGAGGGTGATACCTATGGCTACATTTTCGTACACCTGTAGTGAGAAATGATAGGATGCTATTGCTGAACTCCTTATGAAAATATTGCTTACCTGGCTGCTAGGACAGTATGGGACCTTGGGCAAGGTAGCAGTTTGCCCTGCACCCCACCCCTCACATACCATGGACTGACACTGATAATGATTACAATAGCCCTCCCATTTGCATCATATGTACTGCCATGGCGGGTCCCATCAGATGCCTACTACAAATGTATCTTACCTTGTGAAGTGACATGTAGGTGCACAGTTTTAACTAAATGCATTATCCACCTGGTACTGCAGGGGCATGAATGTTGTAGCTGGGGCCCATGGATATCCACTGGGCCCTAGACTCCTGCCAAGGTGGCCTTGTGGATGATAATGCTTTGCTCTGGCTTTAGTGCTTTAAAATGTATCTCCACGTTTGGAAATTGTATTGGAAAAGTATTTCCAAGTTTTCCTTTGCTGCCACATTTGAGAACCACTACTATATGATTATTATATGCTCCCATTCACACAACATAATAATATGTAACAAACAAAATAAACAAATATTTCTTAGCTCTCTAGTTGTTTGTTTGGAGCAGGGTTATACACAGCACTCTATAGGCAGCTTGAATATTTTTAGCATACCTGGCTGAACAATAGGGACAGTTAAGCTGTTATAACTGTTATATTTTATTTTTCCTCCGGCCTGTGGGCTGAATGAAAAAAATATAGCAGATTCCTCCATCCATGCTACACAGCTTGGATGGACGAATCTCCAGTTGTGTCCTTTGTCTTGTGCCGCTACCATAGTAGAATACATTGAGGCTTTAAGGCCCCATTCACACTAAGCGACATACCTTTTACAGCGGATCCGCGTGGCCGGGATAGCGCGACTTTCGGGGCGACGTTCCAGCGGCGGTAGCACGGCCTTCACCATCGGGCTCCATTAAAAAATAGAAAGATCGCGCAAAAATTGCAGAAAAAAGGGTCCTGCTGGAGCGACAGCGACGGGCGACGTGGAGCTAAGACAGCTCCATTGAATAGCATTGGCCGGCCACTTCTCGAGATATGGCGCGGCAAAAATGCGCGATATTGCACGATAAATCGCTTAGTGTGAATGGGGCTAAGAGTGCCAGGACACATCTACTTGCAGAATTTTATAAAACACACCACTATAGAAAGGAAGAGCCATCATTCTAACAGTAGGTGGGCCCTGACAACTAGACAAAAGTCAATTACTCAATCTACATTTGTGGAAGGAACCAAACTGAAAAGTGTCACCTGGTATATTCTGACAGTGGCAGGTGCAGGCTGTCAGTACAGCACGGCAGGGGAATTGTAACATATATGGATGTCTAAAGCTGACCATACACTGAGCACATTTCTTGATGGACTGGCTGAAATATGTTCAGAGGGTGGCTTTATTGGCTGCCTCCTGCCTGATATCCTTTGATCTGAAAAGCAACGGAGGCAGGTGGAAAATTGTTGGACGAACGTTGACCGCAGTCAATCAGCTTTAGTCAATGCTCTTGAATTCTGACAGCTACACATCTGCCGCTGTCACAACAGCCCAGCAGGTGGGATTCCCCCATCTATGCTGTTTATCATGGGTAGAGGAATCTGTTAGATTCTTTCATTTGGCTCGCAGGCTGAATGAAATAAACCTATTAGTGTGTTCAGCTTTAGAGTTTTCATCAAATATGAGATTTTTTTCAAAGTCTTTTTAAGTTATGTGATGTGAGTGAGAACATGTAACAAATCTAAAGTAGATGTTATCCCAATTTGGCTACAAAAGTAGAAATACACTTTAAATCATTAACAAACATGCAACAAAAGTCAGAGTTAATAGTCAGAAGTCATATTCTGATAATCAGAGTTCATACAGTTCATAGTCACCTGCATATGTGTTCCAAATCAGTGACACAAAAGTATGAAAGCCTTTGGATCAGCATGAAAGCCAGGCAACCAGCATTTTTTTGGGGCAGGGCTCATCAATAATAGCCACCATGTTTCTCATGTAGAGGCTTCTTTTAAGAACACAGGGACACTTCTAAGTTTATGAACAGTGTGACAGATACTGATCTGAGACAATTTGTGTAAATGGCACCTTGTATGTGACAGATCCATCTTTTACTAGCAATGTGGTGCACACATAATATATCAGACACAAATGATCTTGTGCTTCCTATGACTGTGTACTCGGTGTCCTTCATTCGATGTTGCCTGTCAGTACTTTTATTAGCTCTCTGCTTGCTGCTCACTACTGCAGGGATAACAAAGAGACCACGTGGGTCACCCTAATCTGCTCAGACGTTTCCTCAGTCTACAGTGACGTCACGGCCTGGCTGTCATCACACATTTGCTTTTCAGACAGACGTGAGAACAATGCATTCTACTCGATCAGATTATAGCATGTCATTTAACACTTACATGGCTGACATTGATCGCAAAACGCTATCCTTGCATGACAAACATAGTGCAGGGGTTTTCAAACTTAACTGCAAAACTGGAAATAAAAGTGTGAACTTTCCTTTTTTTACTGCAATCATGAATGCAAAAGGCCCATCACTGATGATTGAGAACTGGTCCTGTGCTATCAATAGTGTACATACGTAGGTTACAGTCAGCCTTGTAGCTGTTAGGCAGTAAAAATGACACACACACATACATGATCAGGCTTTCTGTGTACACACCTGTTCTGTAGGAAGGGTAGTGATCAGGTACCACACTGCCTGCAGGGGTGCCCCATGATCAGACACCCCTGCTTCTTTCATGTCCTCTCCTGTTCGAGTCCTCAGTAATATCACTGACAATCCACACCCGTTCTGAGGCTTTCCTGGCAGTACCTACTATGACACCCGCCCACGTTCTACCACACCCCACACTCACTACTGTGACAAGAATGTTGCTAGGAGGACACCCCATAAGATGTGAATGGAGGGAGGAACTTGTGAGGAGGGCGGCTGATCTCCTCAGGAAGGAGCGGCACAGGACACTGCTGGAATGTATTCTCATGTAGGAGGAGAATGACAGGAACTCATATCCATGCTCTATTATCCTCTATACTACCAGAGGAAACACATACACACTGTATAATCCTCTATACTACCAGAGGAAACACATACACACTGTATAATCCTCTATACTACCAGAGGAAACACATACACACTGTATCATCCTCTATACTACCAGAGGAAACACATACACACTGTATAATCCTCTATACTACCAGAGGAAACACATACACTCTGTATTATCCTCTATACTACCAGAGGAAACACATACACGCTGTATAATCCTCTATACTACCAGAGGAAACACATACACGCTGTATAATCTTCTATACTACCAGAAGAAACACATACACGTTGTATAATCCTCTATACTACCAGAGGAAACACATACACTCTGTATTATCCTCTATACTACCAGAGGAAACACATACACGCTGTATAATCTTCTATACTACCAGAAGAAACACATACACGTTGTATAATCCTCTATACTACCAGAGGAAACACATACATGCTGTATGGTTCTCAACCTGTGTAACCTCAGGACCCTCATTTGTCCTTGGTCATTAAGTCGTAACCCAAGTCATATTGCAATGGAACGCACAGCATTGCGGTACCGCGTGTTCCAGTGCAGGCAATCAAACTGTGGACGGGAGGTGCGTTTCAAATGAATGGCAATTCAACACACCTCACACAACAGAATGCACGGTAGGTGCGATTGCGTGGTACAGTGTGTTAATCGCATGGGACTGTGTGATTAACACACTGTACTAGTATGAACTGGCCCTCAAAACCACTGACAGACACAAACAACCACAGACACAATCTCACACACTCACAGACATTCTCACACACATACACATTCCAAAAAATGTTTTGTTTTTTTTAAAGATGTAAGTCTCCCTACCTTACGAGAACTGGAATGGATCCTCAACCCGGGGTCCAGTGTAGGCTGCTGTGCTGTTACAGAGCTCCATCCATATGTGCATTGCTTGCACAGCTCCCATGCGCGCACATAGAGGTGCCGGGAGCCAGAATTTGACATAAATCCGGTCCAAGCACTCAAGGGAGCTGTAAGCAATGCATAATCCTCTACACTACAGCAAGAATCATATACACACTGTATAATACTCCAGAGCCATAGCTAGCTTCTTTTTCGCCCGGGGCAAGAACAGAAAATAAAAAATAATGCGCTCCGTCTCTAGGATGTGGGTTTTTTTTTTTTTTTACTGTTGGGGGCTTCGGGGAAATATCAGGGGTGTAAACAGACCAGTGACACTTCCCTTTTGAAATAGAAAAAGAAATTAAGGACACAGATTCCTCAATCTCTTTTTCTGCAGACTCTGTTCTAAATGAATGTTAGGGCCACGGAAGCAAAATAGGAGAAGTGGCCCCATGGGATTGTCTCCCCTATCACCCATGTGTTTAAATAATAATAAAAAAAAACGAATTATATGTGAATAGAGGTGTGGCGTGACTGTCATGCACATGTCTCTGTGGGACTGCTTTGCTGGTTTTTTCTGCTTTGTCTTTCAGGTTACAAGCTCCCTGCTGTTGCTAGGAAGATTTACCTCATTTGCTGGACAGACCTTCAGTCAGCTGAGCACAGGATTGGTGACAGACTTTTGGCGGGAAAACAGCTGACCAATGAGTGTAACCTTTCCCCCTTTATAGTCACTCCTGTCACTGGACAGTGTCAGCATTTTTACCTCAGAACTGCCAGCTGGACTCACCTCTGGATTATCTTCCCAATTAATTTTGGATCTTTTCCCCTGCTTCCCGTCCACCCTCCCCTTTACTGTACTTTCCCTTGTCGCGGTCAATCTTTATGGGGTAATGTCGCCCACTTTGTGGGTGGACAGTGGTTGGTAAACAGTAATTTGGTTGGTGTAAGTTATTGCTGCTTGAGTCTTGATGACTAAGCATGGTGGTCTGTTAATGGTTAACAGTGGTTCTGTTTGGTAATAAAGGTTAAAGTCTATTTATTGGTTAAATTAATTAAAACCCAATAAAGGTGCCGCGGCCTAGTTATTCCACAATCGTTGTTGTGTTTTACTTTATTATTTACGTTTATTGTTATGGTATGATGGGTGTCAATGGGGTGTACAATCCCATGGAATCACTCAGTACAGAGTTCATTCAGAAACTGGTGATAGTAAAATATATGCTATCATCCAGTTATGAATGGGTAGAAGCCTTCATGGTGAGTGCTATTACCCATTCAGAAACTCATGAATGAGCAGGAAGTGATATAAATAACTCCCTGTTCATTCATAACTGGGGACACATAGTACTAGTGTAAATACACTACTAAATGTGATATTTGGTAGATCTATGGAGTGTGGTTCTTCTCTTTGTTTTAATGGAGGAGAGATCAGCGACTGGAAGTGTGCTAATCTCCCTCCGATGCAGCCAAAGACATCTGGTCCCAGTCCCGCATGAGGGACAGTGGACGTAGGGAGTGGCACTCTTTCAGCAACATACAGTGGACTGCAGGTGCAATGCACAGGCTTCTGCAGACTATCTCCTCAGTCCCAGATTTGTACTGAGGTACAGACCTTCAGTTAGGGAGCTGGAGGAAGTTATCAATGGACTACAAGTACTTGTACTCCATTGAAAACTAAAGACCCCTTTGTCCAGGTAGGAGACGGGACATTTTTCATTTACAGATCATGTGAATTGATCAGTAAATGAATGATCTGGCTGGTCAAGTGGAGCCAGGCACAGCCATGTCAAATTCAAAATATACAGAAGCCCTGCGATTCGGGTAAGTGGGAGGGTGGGTTAAGGGTTGGGGGGGAAGAGGGGGGGGGAGTCAGTGAAATGACACCATATTCCATGTTACACCCTAAAGAGAGGTGGAACATGGTATAAAAGGTGGAATTAGCCTTTAAAGGAGAACTAAAGCCAAACCTATTTTTCTGGCTTTAGTCCTCTTTTGGGTCGAAAGAGTACCTTTGCTAATGTCCTCCTGGGACCCAAAGTCAGCATCTAGCACTGCAGCCAGGAAAGATCCGACTATATTGTCAGCACCCACCCCACTGCCTGATTGACAGCTGACTCTGCCTCTCTAGAGCCAAAGCCAGCGTGTGCCCACCCCCTCCCCGTCTGACGTCTGACCCTCCAATGAGCACTGAAGGAACAAAGAGGGGAGGGTGGAATCCCTGCGGGGGATAATGACTGACAGACTGTGAGCTGGGTGATCAGCAGTTACATGATCACCCAGCTCTCGAACTATAGAACCTGCAGCGTCACATACCAGCTCTAAGTATTGGGAAGCATGTATTTACTCTCCCCATGCTTCTCCTTTCACCTCCCTGGGTTAAATGTAATCATAGCAGATTACATTGTATTGTGTGTATTCTGTGTACATTGCATCTTTTCACTTTTGAATTTCCCGCCGGCTCCGCCCCCCGGTGTGACACCGAGAACGAAAGTAAAAGTCAGATGCCGGCATCGGCCGGCCGCGTAAAACAGAGGACACCGCGGGCTCGTAGGGACAAGGTAAGTGACACTTTTGTAGCTCGGGGTTACCGCTCTTGGTACTGAAAATGAACCCCGAGGGAGGTTAAAGCCCAACCCTGGGTTTGCCAGTCCTTTTGCTGTTTGCCAAACCCCACCCCCTCCCCCCCCCTCCATTCACACACACACACAAACACAGTGGAGCACTCCCGCAGCAAAAGGAAAAAAATAGCCTTCACTCAGCTTCATCTTCCAGCAGAGTCACTCTCCCAGGTTCTCCTTCCCAGGGTCAGCTTTCCCTTTCACTGGCAGGATAGCTTCAGGCCCCAACTCTGGGCCTCTGGGCCTCCATCCCTGGCTACCTGCAGGCCTTTCCATGGCCAGACTCTGGCCAGACTAGACATCACAACACGCACCCTCCCCCTGTAGGGAAGAGACACTGACAAAGTCAGCCCTGAATATTTATGTGCTTCCCAATCATGCACTGCTGGCCATGAACCTACAATTTTCAGGCCTTAAGGCTGGGTTCACACCTAGGCGTATTGTAATATGCGCGTCTGTCGCGCGACCGCGATTTGCGGTAAAAAGGTTGCGCGACCGCCGCGCGATTCCAAAGGCTACTTGGCTTATCCCAATGGAAAACGCCCTACAAAACGGCCCAAAGTAGTCCCGGGACCTTTTCAGGCGTGGGCCGTTTTGTAGGGCGTTAGGGACGGGCGGAAATACGCCTAGGTGGGAACGAGGGCATTGACTACAATGCAATTTATATTTTTGACCGTTTTGTAGAGCGTCCGTCGGGCGTAGGACGCACTACAAAATGGTCAGGTGTGAACGGGGCCTAAATGTGGATTATAACATGTCTAAAAAAACTAAACAAAAACAGCTGGCTACATCTACAAATATTCTTTTAGGTTTCTTTGGTCTAGTCTGGTGATGTCACAGGTCATTCTCATCTTTCTTTGGTGTTGGGTGGATCCAAAGTGGTTCAGAGAGCAGCGCCAGGTAATGACACTGAGTTTTATTGTGGAGTCAGCCTTTCAGTTCAACAGTCTGATAACTGCCAAACCTCAATTCAAACTTGTGTTGTATTGTAAATCAGTAAGGGAATGTGTAATACTCTTGCACAGATACAATTCATGGACTAACCTAGCACATTGTGGGTCATACGTCCAGTTAAAGTCTGAGATTGTTTGCTCCATCACTAAGATCTCTTTCCTACACCATTAAAATACATTAGTCATATCTGCAGACATATTTACTGTATATACAAAAAAGCCATTGTAAGAAAAAGTAACTCTTGTAATTGAACCAAATGCAACCATCACAATGACACAAAAAGAAACAGTAAAGCAGTAAAGGAACATAGACATAATGTAACT